AAAAGATGTTTTTTTTTTTTTTTTTTTTAAATAAAACGTTTTTTCAAACATATTTTTAATGCTTTATATATATATATGCTTTAAACAGTATATTATTAAAAAAACATTTAAAATAGCTTAAAACGTGTTTTAAGCATGATTTTTATCAATCTTATTTTATCATTACATACTTATATTTTATTTCAATTTTAAGATACTGAACATTATATATAATTGCAGAAAATTATAATTATAATTGAAGTATAATGTATACTGTACATTAATGTATTATGTATAACGCATACAGTACACTGCTATTAAAAAAAAATAAAGCTAAATTTTTATAAACTAAAAATAAAGTTAAATTTATAGTAAAACTTACGTGGCTTCTTTCTGAGGCATGATGCAACATAGCTCTCCAGTTCTCTAAGTGTTGATGGCTTCAATGTCTCGAAATCAATTTCGATTTCATCTGGATTTGAATCCCTCAGTGAAGGTTCCCGAGACTGAATTATGTGTACCACACGACCTAATTTATCACCTAAAAGAAAAATAAAAAATACATAATACACTGATATCTTTGGTGTTTTCTTCACTACTTTTTTTCGAATAGACAAAATAATTTACGAATATATGCAGGATAAAGCATTTAAAACAGGTCACCTAAATAATTCGCTTGCTTTTGATGATACGAAAAAATGTTTTAGATGCCTTACCCTGTATTTCACAGAACAAAATTATGTAAGTAGCAAAGAAGTAAAAATAAAATACATCATAATAACAATTATTATTATACAAACATTTAGATAGTAATGGGTTTATAGTCTATTGTAATATATTATAGCTGACTATCGGCCAATAGCTCCTATCTTGAAGATTTTTACGTACTTTTCTTAATAAGCATTATCTCTCTTATATATAATCTTTTCATTAATATAATTAGAACTTTAATTTAATACATATTTTACCTGGTAGTTTATTAATATCCAAGCTAAGCTGCCTCTTCTCATCATAAGACATTGGTTTAGCACTATCTTCATCCTCCGAATCAAATGACATCGGAGGTGGTTGATTGCCAGTATTTTTCTTCTTATTCCCAGTAGATCTGCTATTAGCTTTCGGCCTTTTGGTTGCAGTATTTGCAGTTGTGGCAGCTTTTCCAGGTCCCCGGCCTTTACCTTTTGGCTTAGCATTAGCTGCTGTTGGCAAATGATGTCCTAAACTTCCTGCAGTATGGGTCTTATTAGGTCCTACTACTGTAGTTTGATGATGAAGATCACTAGTTATGCCAGGCATTTTCAAATCCCCTACACCCATTGCAACACTGGCTATACTAGCACCAACACTATCGGACACATTGGGAATGCCACTACTTGGTTTCATAAGTTCTTTCATGGCACCAGTATGACTGGCAACAAGGCTGCTATTCTTATTGCTCATTGGCTTTGATTTTGGCTTGTCTGGCTTTTTCTTTTTATTTTTCTTTTTACCACTCTCCTCCACTAATTTCTTCATTTGTTCTTGCATAGCTTTCAGCTATAAATAAAATAATATAAATTCTATTTTTATCTGCATTTGTCTATAAAAATTTTATTTTATTTCGAAAAAATGTACATATCAGGAGACGCGGTGTCTTCTGATATGTACATTTTATTTGTATAGAAAAGCTACGCATTTCGTGGGTCACCTCCGTGTCTAGATTCATTAAAATATCAGCATTTCGTGAACATTGCAGTTCACTTCATCAGATCGAAGAATAGAAAAATAATTTGCGAAGTGCATAGTTTCTGTATAGAAATTTGTACCCATACAAATTTCAAAAATATATATTATACCTCTTGTTGTAATTCAAGTAATTTTTGAGTACGTTCTTCAACTGAATCTTCACTATCGGAAGAACTATCTCCTCCAGAACTACTACCACTACCGCTGCTGCTTCCTTTCATAGTTCCCATACTACTACCCATCGGTTCATCGGGAACTTTAGCATACCTAATTATATATTAATTACATAATTAGATGTTACTATCATGTATTTAAATTCCAAATTTTAAGAAATTTCAAGTACTAACCTCATCTCAAATATATCTTGAAGTTTTCTAGCCATTGAAACAACATCGTGATCGGGAGGATTATATTTGTAACAATTAGTAAATATAAGTCGTACGTCACTCGCAAATTCGTGTGCAGTTTTATATTGGCGAGAATCCATTTTCGACTATAAACAAGTTAAATGTTTCATATAAAAATATAGATCTAATTATATTATAAAAAATATAACAATGTAAACTTTTTGTAGCAATAATTTATAATTTTTATTTAGTTTTAGAAAAAGTTTAACTCGTCCTGTAAAATATATTTGATTAAAATAATGAAAAATATATATACCTTTACTGTACCAAGATCCATAGGTTTCTTGATAATTTCATGATAGTCATGAAGGCCTAGAAGATCTGCATCAACAGGTTTGTAAAAAGGCCAAGCATAGGGCTGCATATTATTAGAAAAGAAAAGATTATATTACATGTTTTACAGTACTATACTATTCGTAATATTGTATTAATTTGCCATATACATATATGAAAAAACATCAAAATTACCGAATGTTTTTTAGCAAAAAGTTCCTTCAAAATATCATTACAAGATTTTAAGGCTTCAGACAATTTTTCTTTTCCTTTGACACCAGCATGCGGAGGCTACAAAATAAGAAAAAAACGAGTGAAAAACAAATGGACACATCAAGTTGTTTATTTTATTTAAAAGGGAAGTTTTCTTATGGAAAATAGAGAGATAATTATATAATCATAATTTTTTATTTTATTTTTAAAATATGTAAGGTATATATAAAATAATATGTGTTAAGTCTTATAATTTATTTTATAGTAAGAATTTTCAATATAAAATATGCTAAAAAATATATAAATTGTTATTTAATATAAATTTGATAAATGTTGGCTTGATAGATGATGAAACAACACAAATGAAAGGAAGGAATATGAAGGAATAGAGTAATAAATGTACCTGTTGGGCCATTGCCCCCATAAGAGGCATATTGGCCTGATGGTATGGCACTAAGCCGTCTTCCGCTTGTCTCGTTGGCTGAAACAGCCATGACATGAGTTGTTTAAATTGTCGTTTAATGATATATTATTTAATTAATCACTGGTCGCGATGATTAATATAATCAAAATGATTTATGAAATGATACGATTTTATAGATGCAAGGAACAAGGATGTTTGTTACTTATTACGATCATGTAAAACATAATTTGTACTTCTCATATTTAAGGGATTACTTTACTTTGAACCATGAAAAAATAAGCTATTTTTGGAAATTTTTTTGCGAAAATAATCAAGTGAATTAAAAATCTATAAATAGATGCTTATTATACATGCATTGAAATACAGGAAAAAAAATTTTTTTTTTTTTTAGGAAAATGGTGGTACTGCAATCGATTTAAGTAAACTGGTTTTCAGCGAGCGCTCAATCAGCGTGCACGATTACGACAAAACGGTTTGACTTAGAACAAAACAATTTCATGAACTAAATTTACTTTTCATCTGTACAAATATACGTCACATTTTATATATCAAACACAGTCCGTATCTCTTTAATATTTTTAATTCAAACACAACATATAGTATTATAATAAAATAATAAAGAAAAAGGAAAATATATACTCACCTTCTTAATTTGCCTGCCAGACTCCCTTCTCGTAGGTATTTTGGCATTCTTTGAATCCATAGGTGTATACAATGGATCAAACGCGTTTGCGGTAGGAGTTGTAGTATCAGCTTTTCTTTTAACTCCCTTTTTAAGTTTGGCAGGTTGTGATGGAGGCATTACAGTTGGTGTTGTAGAGACTTGTGGAGGTGGAGGCACAGCAGAAGTTGTTTGAGGATCCATCGCCGGTTGCGCATGGTAACCCGTGGTTGGAGGGACAACTTGCTGAGGCAAAGAATTGTGAGTAGCCATTGGTGTAACGCCCATACTTGACGGTGGAGCAATGGTGGTTGTATTTGTGCTTCCAGGTACCGAAGCTGGTGCCTGAGTGCCAAGAGGCGGCATAGGTATAACGCCTGTTGTTCCAGCTGATGTAGCAGAAGGTGTTAAACTATTTGGTACACTGGAAGTAACAGCCGCTGCACCAGAAGCTGGTCGTCCTCTACCTGCTCCTGTACCTCCTACTCCACCTACTCCTGGTCCACCAACTCTTCCAGCTTTTTTGCCTTTGGGCCCTTTTGGAACAGGTGGATCTAACTCTACTTCTTCCTTCGGCATTTGTGCAACCTATAACATTATTACACTATCACGTTTTATCTAATAAAACTAATATATAAACATAACAAAATATTTTCTGGAAAAAAAAAGTATTTTACATGTGCACACATAGAATGAGTCAGAAATAACTTGCCAAATTTATAGATCGCCGTACTAAAGTATTATACTTTCTTTCATAGTTTATTGATTTCCTACACGGTTTCGAAGTTAGGTTATTTAAATTCGGGACAGCCTGTGTGCGTATGTGTGTATACACACATTTTGTATGAATATTGTATATATATTTATTTTAATTAAAATCAATGTTCTTATTTAACAAAAAATGAAGAAATATTCACGTAACAAAAATATACCTTCGTAAGAAATAATTTTTCTAGAGCCTGTGCCATGACTACAACGTCCTCTCCTGGTTTGTTGTAGACATAACAGTTGGTGAACATAGTATTGAAATCCTGAATACATTCTTTCCCACTCCAATAATACGAATTTTCCAACCGCTTTTTGATTGTGCCCAAGTCCATTGGTTTTTTGATGATTTTGTGATAGTCCTTTTAAATAAAAAGTATATTTTCCAATTATTTACACAATGTAACAAAATTATTATAAAGTTCTAATAAAGCATTTTATAAAGAATCTTGTCCATATTAGAACCCTTGTGTATAGTAATGAATCATATACTGATTGATGGAAAATAGTCTCTACTGAATATATCATATTCGTTAATGAAGAAAAGGTCGTCAGAATCAACAACAAATTAATTTTTCAAGATAAATGTCACCAGCAGTTTTTAAATGCAATTAAATAATTTTTTTATATAATATGATTCTTCTAATTATTCTGCATATGAAAGTATTAAAATAGAGATCAAAAAATCACAATACAAGATATTTTATACTTTATAACAAACATATTTTGACATAGAACCATCTCAAAAATTATTATATTCATTTTTTAATAAGTATATCCTAATGTTTTTATGGATAGAATAAATGAATAAGACGAATCAATTGGTATAAAGAAAATATATATGTATAATTGCTAATACTTTGAAGGCTTTCGTAGGTATTTTCTTCAGAGGTGTCAAAAGTTTGTAAGTTATCACAGTGATTCATTGGTAATACCAATGTTTCGTGACTCTCGTCGTTCATTTCATCGGGATAAGAAGCGCATTGATACAGTATCAGTGCTCTCCTCGCTATAATGAAGTAAACGGTGAAATTCACAAAACGTTGGCACTACCAACGTTTGTCGATCGTATAATGGATCATCATTACATGGCGATAATCTACAAATCCTTTGACATACATTATTGCTTTAAAAAATAATATATAAATATAAATTGCAAATCGCAAATTTTTTTTTAAGTAACTATAATTTTTATACCAATTGATCATCTCATAATGCATAATCGTATTAAAATAGTAAAAAAATTAGTGGTTTTATAACAAGATATATTTTCAATTTTGTATCAAAATATACCAATGTGCCTCATGTTTAAAAGACTACATCTCTAAATAGCATCGACTTAGAGAATTCTATTTATGAAACATTATGATCTTTTTAGTAATAATCTTCCACTTTAGCTAAGTTTTGTTACTATACGCAAGACATTCCTTTTGTATATTATACATGATAATTTAAAATATGATGTGGTAATATTTTGTCATGTTTACGTACTGGTAAATTGAGTTTTTTCGCATCGACAGGTTGTTGGAAGGGCCAGGCAAATTGATGCTTCCATACTGGTTTCAAAACACCCTTTTGCAAAAATTGCAATTGATTCGTGATACGTCTTGGACGATTGGGTGGTGGAACAACCGGTGGTTGAACTATGCCATTCACCGGTTCCAAAGGTGGTTCGTCACGTGGTGGCGGTTCCTTTGCAGGACTCGCTGGCGTAGTCGAAGCCTTGCCAGGTGTGCTCGTCTATATTGTTCATTTTTATTTTGTTAATTACATATATGAATAAGATATACTTTCTCTCTCTCAATTACTTATGTATCTACATGTAGTGATTTTACATGTTAAATAAGAAGTTTATTAAGCATATCACATTTTGCAAAAGCATATAACAATGAAATTAATTCTACTTAATATTGACATATTCACACATTATTAATTTTGTCAGTATCATGCATTTCAAATTAATAACTACATACATTTACACACATGCAATGTTCTTAGATGTATTGTAAAACTACTATTAGCGGATTTGTGCTTAGATGCAACATTTTATTTGTACCTATTAAGTTTTCATACTTGCTGTCATATTTTTCACAATAAGTTCTGTGCAGTATTTTAAAATGTTTATTAACAACGAAACTTATTTTTTAAACATCTTTCTTTAATTACAGCAAAAAAGCGATATTTATAATAACAAAAAGATGTTAAATAAACTAAATATTTACTCTAAGATGTTAAATAAACTTTTTTAAATTATTAAAACCAAGTTAAAAATTGTATTCATATGGCTCAATCTTGAAAGAATTCTGAACAAGGCGATATAGTATATCTTTCATTCAGGACCAGGTAACTAGTTCCTTTATTTTCTGTGGAATTTCCATTTCTGTTGTGTGCGATTTATCATTCATCATTCTGTCATTCTGACAAATAAGATACATAACACACAAGTAAATGCAACTATTGAAACTGAAATAAATCGACAAATAACACACAGGTCAGTTAAAAAAAAATCTTAATACTATTATATATATATATATTCTTTTCAAAAATTTTGAATATTTCTTTACTACAGCTCTTAAGAAGTCTACCTGCCTCGAATATTTGTTAAGTCAGGTCAGTTTCTTCCCATTTTCTAACTCTTGCACCAAGTTTTCATATAAATTACATGCGAATGCAAAAATATATCTTATGTTTAGATTTTTGCGAATTATTTAATAATAATTACATAGTTTTTTTGACATATTTCTTCTGTAAATCACATGATAGTATTTCATACGACACACGTTTACTAGAGCTTGTATCGAAGTCGATATATTTGTTTAATCACTGTCTTTGTTTTTTTCTTATGTAAATTGAATATATATTAATTTCGTATAAATTGCAACTAAAACAAGTAGATATAATTATGTCAACTTAATATACCAACAATAACGCACAAACCGAACGCGTCTACACTCGTCTATAACTTTTAATAACTATAAAATTTAGATCGAATTTTTACCTACTATTTTCACCTACAGATTCGTTCATTTTACTTGTACATTACATTTTCATGATCACGGCATTATGGAGAAAATTAATTTAAGGAATAAACGATATAATTTTTGCGTTCGCAATTGTATATGTAGAATTAAATTAAATTATATCTTCGTATATTTGTTGTACGGATGTAGGTATGGATGTGGACGCACGTTATCAAATACAAGAGTAATAGGAGATAGGTCTATTATTATATATATTTCGAAAACGATTTAAAATTGTGAAAATTCATGAAATATGTTGAGAAATTACAATCAGTATAGCTCTTCAAAATGATCTAACACGTATTTTGCGATTTTTTGCAATTTTCTAAACCGTTTCTTAAATGTAAGGGATCGAGAAAGATTTTACAGACACCCTGTATCTGCGTACGCGCGCGTGTGTACTTACATGTATGAATATATAATATACAATTCTATATAACTTTTTAAAATTATATAAAATAATCATAAAAAATTATATAAAATAATATATATAATAATGTGAGAATAGATTTCTAAAATTCTTAATTTTTATTTTTTGTTATATACATATTGTACATATAACATTTAACATTAAAAAATTTTTTAAAAGAAAAATTGCTTTGAAGTTTTTATAGGTTTAGTACTCAATATATGCCTCTGTGTATAATTCTATGAAAAAATTGAACACTTGATATTGTATTCTCCCAGTATATACCTAGATAACATTGTTTATATAGCGTGATTCACGCATTTCATCATCACATGAAACAAAAATCTTGTTGATACAAAAAACTTATTAGAAATATTAAGATATAAACATCATATTGATTCTAAAATATTTATGGAATTATTTAAAATTTTCAAAAACTTAACATAATCAAGAACCATACATACGAACAATTCACATATGATAAAATGCATTTAAGCAGAAATCAAAATCTTTGAAAATCTTTCTGAACTTTATTTTTGAGAGAATTATTTTATAGAAGATCAACTAAATCTTTTACATGTCTCAATAATCTTATCTTTAGATTTTAAATTATTGTAACTCTATGGTTTTATATATATTATATATGGCTTTATATATATTATTTAATTCTAAAAGAATTGCTCTAAAAAAAAGTTAATTTTATAAAACCACATATCTACTACAACACTGGCCAAGTTATTATAGAATAGGAATGCGTTCGATTTGAATTCAGCATTATCAGTGTTTTATCCCTGTTTTATATCTTAAAAAAAAAAAAAAAAAAAAAACCAGTAACAAAATAGAATAACGATTATAAGTGCTGTAAAGCGCGTGCTGCGTGAGCGTCCAAATCGAACGCACGAGATTAGGTTTTCTATAATTTTCGTCTCTCACTTTTAGGTCTTGTAAATAAAAAAAAAAACTATAATTCCACTTTATGAATACAAATTTGGATTATCATATCTTTTTTCATTTTCTTATTCCTTAAATTTTGTTATTTCTTAATTACTATAATTACTTTTATTACCATAAAACGAGACAATAATTAATTTAACGGACAATATTACTTGATTCGTGATCATGGGGTTTTATAAGATTTTTAGAATTTTTGGGAGTTTTTTTTATAAAATTGATTATTTGACATTTTTTCACATAATATTTAGTTCACGTTGTATTTATCATTATTTAATAACATATTCAAATAAACAAATTAATAAAAAATAGACTCGAAAATTTCAAATAACAAGAATAAAAATGGGAGCTAATGAGAGTACATTCGCTGTTATTGGTGCAATAAAATATAAGATATATTATAATAAAACTGAGAACGAAATAAATATAATATTAGACGTTTCGACCTGCAACCGGGCCATCTTCAGTAGTAAAATTAGCCCTCCTTTTTAATTTTGTTATATTCAAATAAAATTAATGATAAAAGAATTTTATGAAAATATAATGATAAATTTTTCAAATTCAAATAACATTTTTAAATAAAAAAAAACATTTCTATAGTGAAGATAAAGAAAAAAATAATAACACTACGTATTATAAAATATATTAACATTCAATTGGATAATTTGACGTTTAAATAAATTTACTTTTAAATAAATTCACGAAAAAAGAACTTTTAAAACAAAAAATGCATTAAGATAAAAAATATGCCTTTAAATACAATTATATTACAGTTTTAAATACTACAAAATATTATACATATATATGTATAATGTAATTATATGTATATATTAAAATTGATATGTTAAAATGATATCAGTTCAGTTGATTAGAGTACACACACACACACACACACACACACACACACACGCACACACATACATACTTTCGTATATATATTTTCATTAAATACTTAAAACATTTCTTTTATTATTTCCGAGATTGAAAAATTTATTTTTCTATATAATTCCAATAAAATCTCCCAAAAAGTTCACAAATTTCGGGGTTTATTTCAGACTGGTTTTTAAAAGGGTGGGTAGAATAATGTCAATCTAGCGATTAACATCGAAATAAAATAAGACTTTCCAAAACGGTCTGTCTGAGAATGTTACTTTTTTTTTATATATTAGAATTTTAATATTCTTGAAATTTCTTGGTGAAGAGAAGAGAAATCTTCAATAACAATGGTACAACAAGGTTATACCTAAAGGTCCCTTCTAATCCGTTTTTACTACCTGATTTTAAGGAAAAAATAAACATAAAAAAAGAAGGAAAAGTGCAAAGGACAAAGAAGAATTTAATGGACAGCAAAAATCGAATACTAAGAAAAAGAAGATTTAATACTTTTCATGCTAATAACATTATATTTCAACTTTGACAACAATGATACAAAATACAAAAGTTTAAATGTTTTAACATAGCAGTAATAAATCTACAGTTTAGAAAGTGAAATGGATGTGGAAAATCGAGATATCCCTTCTAATCCGTTTTTACTACCTGATTTTAAGGGAAAAATGGACATGAAAATAGAAAGGAATGTACAAAGGACAAAGAAGAATTTAATGGACAGCGAAAATCGAATACTAAGAAAAAGAAGATTTAATACTTTTCATGCTAAATATCATATTTCAACTTTCACAACAATGGTACAAAATACAAAAGTTCAGATGTTTTAACACAGCAGTAATAAATCTACAGTTTAGAAAGTGAAATGGATGTGGAAAATCGATATTGAGCAAAAATATTGACTATAATTATATTCCGATATTAAAAAATTATTTATATTTATTTTGAATAAATATATAGACATTATGAATTATTGAATATATTAAATAACGAATAGATTTTTCTAAAAAATAAATAAAAAGAACAACAATATTCCAATGTTTTTTAATAAAACTTACAAACGAAAACCATTTTTAATATTTAATGTAAAGAAGATTTCGTTTGCTTATAGTCCCAATTACAAATAAAAGAGTAAATGAAACATAAATCAAGGTGAAACTTTGGAAAAAAAATTCCCTATTATTTCGAGACATTTATGTTCAAAATTCCAAGAAAATGTAATACAACTTTTAAAAATTAGAATATAAACAACACAAACTATGTATTGTAAAGAAAAAAATATTTAATAAGATAAGGCCCGTACTCATAATTAGACTTTATAATTGAGGCTTCCTTAAATTTTTTTTAGATACTCAGTAGCCAATAAAATAATTCGTAAAGTATTTGAAGATATAAACTTAAAAAAATCTTAAATATAAAGTCTGATTATGAATATGTATGTGGACATATATCTCGGTTTTTTTTCTACAATTGTGAAGCCGCAAAACCTATAAAATATAAAAAACTCACACAATATATCAGTAAGCTACTCTCTTCTCTTTGCTGTGCAAATTACTGTTCTCAAAGATAGAATTAAAAAGTAATATTCCAAAAATTTCCCTGAGTACTGATAGAAATAAACTAATAGAAAATTTTTAATTTTCAACATAAAAAGACATCTCAAAAATTCTAAATTCTTCGTTTTTAATTAGTAAACATCGTATTATTACATTTGTTTCTATCATTCTATATTTTTACTTAAAAATAATTATAAAAATTTCAATTTTTTAAGAATAATTAAGATGAATTATTGTAAAAGTTTTATACCGAGATTAGTTGTTCAATAAATAAAGTTTTTTCAATTTATATGCATCGCAATGTAAATTATCGTTATCATATAAATTATAAATCATCCTTTAAATTTTAAAACATTTAAAATACATATATAAACAAATTGAAATTTGTCATTTTTATATTGAAGTATTTATATTCTATTATAACACACAGACACACGCACGTGCGTGTGGGCATACAAAATAAAATAGAGAATACCAAATCAAATAAACATTAATGTGTTATTAAGTAAAAATAATATAAATTGTTTTATATACGAATAGTTTTAGTATTAAAAATATTACTATGATTGCGTTCAGAAATTTCACCTTAGATGCATGCATTCATGTATCATTTTCTTATTTATTCATGTTGTCCACCGAACGTTAAATAAAAAAAAAAAGATATCTGAATAAATATCCGAGTGAAATATTAGAATTCAGCCTATATATTATATTTGATAAACAATATAATATATAGTTAAATACAAAAATATCTTGAATTTTAAAAATATTCGATGATTCGGAAAGTTCGTTTCAATTTTCTAGCTCGAAATTGTATATACATCTTCGTAAAAAACAAACGAAATTTAAATTTAAAAGATTTTAAAATCTCTACTTTTGAAACATTTTACTATATTATTATTTGAGTTTCTATAAGTTTGGACATTTTTACAAATAAAAAACTACGAGCTGGAAAAGATGAAAAATTTTCTTTTTACTTTGTAGATGATTTTTCACGTACCAAAAAAAATTTGCGAAAATTTTCGTCTACCTATCGTGAAAGCTTAAAACTTTCAATAGAAAATCGTTTTTTTTTTATGATCCTACGATTGTTTGGTAATGAGTTATTTACGAGTTAAATAAAGGAACATTTTGATTTTAATTGCGTTAAACATCATAATATCGCAATCAAGAAATCAGATTCTAAAAGTTGAAACTTTTCTCTATCGCTAATTTTTTTTTAATATACAGTATACTATTTTGAGATAGAAAATTTGAAACAAATTTTCCGAGCAACCTAATAAAATAAATACGGGAGACAAAAAGACAGTAGAATAGGTAGAACACTTCTTATTAAATATTAACTCTCAAATATTTATATTATTAAAAAAATGGAATTATGTACATACATGGTTAAACACAGAAAGATATCTATCTATTTTAATTACATTACTCGGTCTGATTTTTGGAGGGAAATGAATATAGAAAGAGAAAATGTTTGAAATATGCGGCGGAAAGAGAAGTTAAGCGTCTGCTATATCGTACGTTAATATGCGCATGCGTAGCATCTGTCCCGCCATCTAAGAATGCTGCTTGTATATATCGCATTCGTAATATTAATATCTAAATATATTGTATAAAATAATAGACTATCTACAATACAAGATAGCAAATGATATTTAAAAAATTTCTATAAACAAAAATAAATTCTTATAATATAAACATAAACTATTAATGAAACACATTTGAGTTAATGACCTCGTTCATGCAATGAGCGAATTAGGCTGCTAAATATTTAGTTTCCATAACCACAGGCAAGCGATTTGGAATTTCTGCATAAGAAAATCGTTACTAGAGACTATAACATTTAACAGTGAGAATTTAGAAATGAAATATAATGGCATTTTTGTGCGTGAAATTGTAAAAACAAATCTTTGTCATTAAATAAGAAATATAAATTATCAGAAATAATTTGTACAATAATTGAAAAACACAACAATATTTATAGATAAAATGTATATAGACCACAAATACGGAAATGTTTGTAATACTAGATATAGTGAGCAAAGCAAAAAGATTCTTGCCTCTATAATAATAGCATTAACAGCAATAACATTAATAAATATAACAATCTTTATTTAAGAATATTTTTATAATATCAAATTTATTTGTAAAGTTATAATATTTATCTATAGAGTTACGTCTACGTTATTTACCACTACTTGTAATGATTAAAGCAAAATTATATATAGATTATTTATACACAGCATAATTTATTAGTTGCCAATTCATATTTCAACAATATATCATAATGGAAACCATAGTCAACAAGGTTTCTCACCTTCGGTATATTACACAGCCTTTCTCGCTCCTCCACATCTAACTGTAATTCATACATACTCTATTCAGTCAAACACAAAGCTCTCTTTTTTAGTATGTTAGAATGTTTATATCAACTATTACGCGAGGTATGAAAAATGCAAATAATGTTAAGAGTTATCAAAACACATGTATGCAAACACAGAAAGGTTGATAAAAAAACAATATAAAATATATTACATAAACATGTAGCAAGGTGATAATTTATAAAATGTTACTTGGACCAAAATGTTAAACATGTAATTTATATATATTTTATAACTCCCAATTATTTCAAAAGTGGAAGCAATTTATATTTATATAAATTCACATATTATGCTGTAAATACTAATATCGTGTAATATGTAATGCTTTGAAACTGGGAAATTCTGATAATATGGATATATTAATGCAGCTTTTTAAGTATTGCAGAGAGAATTATAAAGCCAGCTGCATTCTACACTATCACAAAATATTTAAAACATTACAATATTAATTACTCACAGAATTGTTCTGCGAGATGGTGTCCACCTGCTGCATCTTGACTTCGTTTCTGCAACAGAAAGAGCAAAACATAATAAGTTTCATTTATAAAATAGAAAAAATGTATAGTGAAACAAAATTTATTATATTAGTTAATTACGCGGTTTATGCTAAAATATTTTATAAAGTATAGTAACAACTTTGTAAGAAAAAGAATAAAAGATCTCTTATCGATCAATCCTATCTAATAAACTACATTAATGTTTAACAAAAAGAATATATTATTTTTTTAACTCCATTTGTGTTTTTATATTCGTTTTATTAGCGAGTTGGGATTTATCGAATTTTTCTCAAGACAATTTTCTCGACTATTAGTCGACACATAATCTAGCAATTTTCATCATGCAAAGGATTTATTTGATAGGTAAGCGATTGATTGTCTAAATATGCAAGTAAATATGTATACGATCCATTATTTTTTTTTTTTCCGAATAATCGTTTATAATATATGGCTCATCCACTTCACGATAATGAGCTTCACCTACCTTTCCGACATATATGATACATAAATGCTACGCAGCAGGTAACTGCCTTACGTTGATGCTTGACGCTATGAGGCTTCATCAACAATTGAGATGGCAAGTATATATTCTGAATTGAGCATGGCAGCTCATTAATTGCTTGCCAAGACGATTGCGCTGCAACCAGGAGTATTGGTGCCGAGGAGGCATAACACTACATAAGCCTACCAAGTGGTAGTACTTTGAATGTCAGCCCTGTGTACTGCTGTGAGACTCCGTACCTCCAGGCAAGACTCGCGACATTAGCAACATCTGGATAACATAACAATAGGACCCCATATTGTAACAACCCCAAAATTGTTTCATCGCTGTAGAATGATTTTTACATTGAGGTGTACTCTCAGGGAATTTATATATTATTTAACATATCATGCAAAACTGAATCTAGTAGTACATGCTGGAAAAGCAAAATCTATTTCTTACTGTATTACTATATGTGTATTAATAGGTTATATTCAGAAAAATATATATATAAACTTTTCTCTTTTTTTTCTTATACATTACATTATTTTATTAAAAGATACAGTTACTATTACACAGTATATAATAATCCAAAATAATTTACATGCTTATATTGATGCAATAAAATTCTAAAGTAAAATATTACAATACAATGATATTATATTATCATTCAATGAAATACTCTTGATTTATTTTCAAAATATTTATATAAATTATTTGAAAAAAATAGAAAGAAATGGCTCTAAGCCAATTCTCTTTCAAGATGTAATTAACATTTTGAAATAATATATTTACCCCCAATATTTTTAAAGGCACAATAGCATTACTAAAATTTTATTTTATCTTAACAGTATATATATATATATATATATACATTGTTGTAAAAAAAGGGATATTTCTATAAAAATGTATAAACTAGAAGACATTAATCTACACCAATCTAATGCCTAATTCTTAATTCTATGCAAAAGAAATGATTAACTATAACAATTATGAATATAAAATTACACAAGAGACGAGATTTTCAGCGACATGATTTTTGTACAAAGAAATGCAACACTGGGGTTTCATGAAGAAATATCCAATGGAATTGTCACACATTCGAACAACACTGAAATTCTCCATTCCAAATAGAAAAAAATTCACTTGAATTGTAACTGGATGCAAGATTCGTCGTATTCCAAAGTTCTCCAGCGAAGCGAGCCAAAATGGAAAGTTTGACTAAAGTAGCACAAATAAGTGTTACACTGGTATAGAAAGCGAGGAGGTTGTTAAAATGCAAAATTAACAGTGCGCGGGGAAATCATACATCGCGTCTATGATGACCGTTAAATCTCGGTCATCGAATTTGCGTAAATACGAGCGAAAAAAAAGAGGATCCTGCCAGAATACTCCACGCTACGACGTATCAGGGGCAGACAGATAAGAGATCTCGCGCTCGGCGCGAACAGGTGCTCGAAAAAGTCATCCGAGGTAGGAGTGGAGAAAGGCGAAATCCACGCGAAAGAGAAATAAGCGTAGCGACGAGGAGAACGACGATGGCGACGACGACGACAACGATGACAGCAGCAACGGCAACCGAGAGGCACGAAGTGGACGAGAAATCGGAGAAAAAAGCGAGAGGGAGAAAAATAGCGGATCCGCGCCCAACTGACGCACAACAAACATGAGTGAACCGTCGCGCGGACAATTCGCCGCCGTCCGTCCGGCCAACGCTGCCGAGCGATCGCGGCGACTGGCGCCACGGGGACAGAGAGAAAGAGAGAGAGAGAGATGACGCCGTGAGAATTTGACGACGGGCAAGAGCCGGGACGGGGATAACCACGGCGCGGCGCGACGCGCGGTAACCCGAGGAGGCAGCCTTACCGGACACTCGTATTCGGCGTAGGTCTCAACATGGCGGTATGGCCGTTCAGGAAAGAAAGCTCCCAAGGGCCCACCGCTACGTCGCACCGCGGTGCGGCGCGGCGTGCCGCGCTCATGCACCGCCGCGGCTATAACGCGCCACACACACACGCACGCACGCACACGCACTCGCTTAATACACTTACAAGCCTACAACGCGGAACGGGCGGTGAACGGCGAACGCCGAGCTCGCCAAGTTCCCGGCGTCGCGCGGGATCGCTTACCTGATCTCAAGACGGAAGTCCGCCGCTTTTCCACGCACGCACACACACAGAGAGAGAGAGAGAGAGAGAGAGAGACACACGGCGCCTCGCGAATCGGAAAACACTAGCACTACGAGCCCCCGGACAACTCGTCGCACTAAGCTTTCACCCTCGCACGGGTTTAGTTTGGTTGGTCGGTCGGTGTTATGGCCGCCGTAAGCGAGTTAGTGGCCCCACCGTATATCACCGCACTCACTCTCACTCGTGCGAGCGCTCGCGCTCGGTTCGCGTACGCAACGGGATGGGAACGCGGACGACGCGGCGGTCGGTCGGCCGACCAAGCTCAGTCCCAGCGACTCACGCGCGTCCAGCACGACTCGGTAGACGTATCAATGCTCCGTATCGTACCTCGTCGACGTTATCCTCGAGCTTCGCGCGGTCGAGTCCCTTTCCGTGCCCATGGCGATCTCGGATCTAGAAACTAACGATCGCAGCACCAACAATGGCTACGCATTCTTCCGCGACGTACCGAAATGGTCCCGTTCCGCCGTTCCCCACGATTACGTCGATCCGTCTCTCTCGCCGCGCACGGCGAGACTAGCGACGTACGTCCAACGCACGGCGAGAGCGCGCCAATTACGAATACCACAGCGACGCCTAACGGCCTCCGCTCTCGTTTATCGTAGACAATACGGATCTATTCGTCGATCGCTGTCCTATTGGACGATCGACAATGATCGGAGGTGTCGTCGAAGGGCAGGTTTTTCCCTACCTGCCCTCCTACCCCCCCTCCCGATTGCTACAGATGACGTAGGTACGCTAGACGGATTATGCGGCAGCGTACCAGAAATTTCTAAAAGTGGATGTACGAATAAGGGATATCTTGATCGTATAGAGGGTGGAAAGTATTCAGGCTACAATCTGAACGTTTTATATCCGTTTCTACCAATGTGGCTTAATTTTAATCTTGGTTTAACTAACTCTTCATCTTTTTCTAGTTCTAAGAATTAGAAGAAATAAGAAAAAATGATGAAAAGTAAGTTGAACCGAGATTAAAGTTAATTTATATTGGTAGAAACGAGTATTAGCCACTTTTATTATTTAGGGCGTACCAACAAACAAGAACATATATGCATTTGCACTGGTAAATAATCTTTATTTGTGTCTCGTGTTATACGTATACAATAACTCGTCACATCGCCATTGTTCCACCTATAATTCACTTCTCTCGAAGGAGACGAGATCAATAGTTTTCAATAATATTAAATACTGTAATAATAAAGAGTTCATGATGCTGTAATCGCAGAAAGTTTGTCGCATCGCGCACGGCAATCAGATTGCCGGAGTTTCGACTTTACGTAGACTTATTATCATCGTGCCGAGGCCGAGGAACGGTCCGATTCCGACGATTCTGCTGTTGCCACGCGACGCATCATGGGAAAGTGCGAGACGCAAAATCCATAATTACCGACTCAAGGAGGTACCGACCGCGTACCTCAAAGGCTGCTTCAAAGCCGCGAGGCGCGACGATATCGAGAGACAGACAACACGTGGCCATGGCTTTTCCGCGCGTTTTACGTAGCGTTCCGTCGTGACGTGTGCTCCGTCACGGACGTTGCTATCGGATTCCGTTAACGCTCTTATCCAACATGGCGACACGAGAGAGAGAGAGAGAGAGAGAGAACAATCGATCTTCCCCTCGTCCGCCACGGCCTAGAGACGTGTCGAACGAGAGCGCGGGGAGTAAGTACGTGAGACGCGATGATATCACGAATAATATTTAAACCCCCCCCCCCCCCCCGGCTATCACCTTGGCCAGGTGTCGAGTGCCGTTTCAACGCAATGACGGCATTCACCCGCGTAGTTGAGCAGAATCGTGGACTCGTGACACGGCCACTACGAGAGTCAAATCAAGTGTCGGGCTCGTAGTGGCTTCGGTTCCGTCGGTAGCATGCTCACGAAAAATATGATATAATTCTCGAGCAACTACCGTTTTTTATCAGTTAATCAGCAAGCTCCCTGGTGCGGACAGCCGACCACGTGCGTCCGACGCGACGGCGTCACTCTCCGGCGACACAATATGGCGAGTCCTTCGTGTCAATGCTCTGTGTATGTGTAGATATATCTATGTATGTGTATATAGATACACGCGGCGCGCGTGTATCACTCACGGAAACTCGACCACTGTATTCACTGGTACGATCAACTTCACTGTGTGGAATCACGACGCGCATGCCGAGACGTTGTCCAACAGCTCGCGTCGTCGGCTCGGTAGTTTCGACGTGCGCGCGACACTCGCTAGATATTCTTGACATTGACAAAACCCGCCTCTGCTCCAATGACGTGATGATTTACGAAAGTCGGGGGAAAAGAAGGAAAAAAATACGTATAACGATAGGTATACACACGATGATGCCGTTGGACTTTGTACGTTTCTCTTTTTCCGGTCACCATTTAACTCGGCATTCTCACCGACGATTGGCTCGTGCTTGCGGCGTCTTTCTGACGCGGACCAATCGTCCGAGGGACCGATATTGATGAGTCATTGCGTTTGCGATAGAGCATACCGATACCTGCGACTACCTGACCGATACAAAAGTAACGGTAAACATTTGTTATATCTTGCATGACGAATTTGTAGAATTTGGAAATTTGTCAAATTTTCAATAGTCATACTCTTGGACGGTTTTTACTATGCATTCTTAGTTGATTTTCGCTACGACAGAAAGTTTTTTTTGTCAAGGTACAGAACATAACAATAGATATACGCAGGTATATATATACATACAATAGGAAAAAATTTTTCAGGAATGACATTGAAGGACTACTTACAGGAAGTGTCTATTGAGAGAGCCAAATGTTTAGAAATAAAAAATTGTTTAATAGATATATATATGTATATAGGGAGGTATTAAATAATCTTTTGAAAAAAGAAAACGCCGCAATATCTTAAAATGTTTATTGTAAATTAATCTTATCTAAATTTCTATCAATCATTGGATATACGAACGATTTCCAGGAATGGATCTATTATATGTACTAATAGCATATTATATGTATATTTCTCTCTAACTTTTTCCTAATAGATTTTTACAATGCATATATTTTATAAATACATATACGACAAAAGCTCATGATAGAAACTTTTGAAAAATTTATATATAATAAATGTAATTTAATGATTCGCGTACGCATGAATAAGAGTCACGTCAGACATAAACACGAACACGTGGCTGCACGTGGTTGACGTAGTGCATAATGCGCAATCGAATAAATTGATCAAAATTTGGATCCTACATCTACATATAGAGCGAAGTATGTAATATGAAAAAAAATCCCAAAAAATTATATTTGAATATAAATTAAAATTACAACAAATATTTTAAGTACTTAAGTTACTTATTCAGTTGAACATCGAATATTAGTGTAGTATTCTTCGGTCGAATATCGAATAGTTTCAATCGTGCAATTCTACTATTGTTTGAATTTCCGCATTTTATAAAATATATGTTTGGATAGATGATCGCGAAAAATGTCATAATTTTTGTACTGAAAATGGAAGCATTTTCAGAAATACTGAGAAAATCTACATGTTTTCTTGTCTAGAATTTTTCATATATGTGAATTCTGAAATATTCTAAGATTTCTACATTCTATAATTTCTGAAAAAAATACTTAAAATTCCACAAAAATTTCATTAGGAATTATGAAAATCTTACATGTTTCAGAATTTTGGTACATGTAGATACAAAGAATTCTAAAATATTAATTTTCTCAGTACTTTTGAAAAATATTACAATTTGTATAAAAAATCTGAGAGATTTTTCAAAAAGTTATAAAATTAATCAGAAATTCTGAAAAATTTATACGATAAATTCCGAGAAAGATTTTCACATCAAGGAATTTCTTCTAGAATTGACATTATTTTGCTCACCCTAAAAACCCAGGGATTTTTTTGGATTCTACTCGCCTAAAAGAATCCGAAATTTATTTTAGATTTTGTTGTAATTGTAGAAAAATTAATTTTTTAGTCGGAAACATATAAAAGGAACTGTATTTGTAAATATTTAATAAATGTATATGTGTGTACTAACTTTTGAACTCATATCATTTTAACATATACCAATGTTAATATTTTTTTAAAAAGTCAGGTATTTTTCTGATCCTGATTTTTTCTTATTTTCATAAAAATAATGAAAACAATAACTTTTTAGAAAAAGATTCCAGATGACAACATGTCTGTCTTGTTGCTAGCATGTTGCTTGCTAAGTACGTATTACCATCAGAATTACAGCAACTGAATTTGTTGGCAACTTGATGCCTTCACGATATAACAACTTTGAGTAGCTACTTGCCAGCAATTTGCTGATAATTTTAAAATCATCATCGTAAAAATTCGTACTGTTACCGTTATATTGCCATAATAATATACAGCATACTTTTTACCGACGACGCAAAGTAACATTGACACAGCTATCTTGCCATCAAACTGTTGGCAATATATTGCTGTCTGCATGTTACTACATGTCGACATATTTGAAATCGTTGAAGGCAAATCTATACCGGCAAGTTGCCAGCATCATAAGCACAGATTTGTGCGATTTTGCCGTTTAAAAGTTAGTACACGCTTTGCTATTTGAATCTGAAATATTTTACGTAGCGTGATATAAGAGATATATATATGTATATATATATATAGTATATATATATATATATATATATATACACACTAAGCAGACGAGCCTGTACATGTGCACGAAGATGTGATTGATATTATGCGTTCACATTGTTTTTGTTAAAATTGTGCGTATATTATAATATTAAATATTCGGTAATATTTACCGAATATTTAATATTATAATTCGGTATATAGTTTTATTGAATATTCGATATTTGATTTTAATAAATGAATATACTATTTGTTACATCTCTGATATAAGTATTATGTTTCCCTCTTCATCATTTTCTAAAATTTAAAAATTAATATTTAATTTTTTTCAACTAGCACATGGTGTCTTCTATAATTTTTTTTCGAAGATAAATGCCATGCCATTGCTTTAAAAGAGTACAGAGTAAGAGCAGAGTAAAATGCCTAAAAGCGCTTCTGCAGTAATTTTTAATGTTCAGATTATCTCTTGTCTACTTTCTAAAATATAAAACTTTGTTCTAAATGATCTTAGAATTTAAAGTCTTCTCAGCTTTCTCAATTTAATGAAATCCAAACAATCTTTAATAGTAGAAGTTTCATAGTATCTATTTCTTCGTCGTTACCAATTTTTGATCAAAAATGCGTTTAGCATGATGTATTTATTATATAATTAAATAATGTGTTCACATTGCTTGCACCTGAATGTATATTTAAACTCATTTTAAGTACAAAAAATTTTAGGAATTTCAAATAACATGAACAGACCTAGAATTACGTTAACTATGTAAAATTAAGATACATCGTGAATAAAATGAATGTATTTTATTTTAAATTTAATTAAAATATGGTTTATATTAACAAAAGAATCTTATTGAATCGTACACTTAAAAATTCAAATAGGAAATAAAAAATTAATGACTAAAACGATTTAAACTAGATTTTTTTAATACTTAAATAATTCAATGTGAGTTATGTATACCATACATACACATATTTGCAATCATTTAAATGCACGCCAAAATTTTTTCACATTTAAAAATGCTAAACTACTGAAATAATATCAATAATAAATTTTGATGCTCAATAGGCGTTAGAGAGATCTTAATATGCTGAAAATCTGTAAATAAATTTATTTATTGTGAAAAATATTACCTATGATTTATATCATAATAGATCTAATATTTAAATAATGTTGTACTCGTGTGAATCATATGTATACATATTTTAGAATTGGTCTAAATTCCACACACAAATTATTCTCTTGATTAATTTGAACTCTGATAAATGAAAAAATAAATATGAAAAAAGTTAATATTGTACAATATACAATATATATACTTAATGTTATTTTATTCTTGTATTTTACAATTGATATAAATTCTAAATATATGAATTTGTTTGATCTCTCAAATGTATGTTTGAATTTGTCGCAACGTATGTGTTGGTGCACACAAGTTTGTCGTAACATTTTTTTCATCTTTCATCATTCAAAAAAAACTATCAAAGAGAATGATAACATAACAATAGGATAAAAAAAAATTACTCTATTAAAGATTGTAAATCTACTTCAGAAAATTCTTCGAATTGTATTTTTGAAATTTATATAAATTCGATATATATACATGTATAATAAAAAAATATATAATACATTATAGTTTTTTATTAAACAACTCCCCAAACTTCTTCAAATGCTGTACATAATTTACTACATGCAATGGCGCCTGAGAGAGGATAATTACTAATTGAATAGGTATCTTCTGTGTAATCTGTTTTGACCTATAAATAAACAAAAGAATATGAAATATTTTATGTTTTTAATAAAATAGTAGTAATGTATTTTGTTTTAATAATAATAACTTACTTGACCATGTGCCATAGCTCCAACTACAATAGCAATGGGATCTTCAGTGGGTACAAGCTCTCGTGGATTCAGTACTTTACTTGCATTGAATGACATCAATATCTTACGACAACCAACTGGCAAATGATTTGTAATAGGATTTTTAATTATTTTAAGAAGCTTCATTGGGCCATCCGATGCTCTGACACCATATTTATGTAATAATTGTACTGTAATAAAACACTTAATATATCAATAATATTACTAAGTAAAAATAGCTAGATTTATATAACTTAGACTACACAGTTTTACTATAAGTTATATGTAAATAGTAGAATGTATACTATATAAATAATATAAACGTATAATATATAAATATATTGTGTATATATATATATATATATATATATATACATTGCTAAATATTAAAAAATCAAATTTAAATTAATTCTTTAAGTGCTGGATAATATTTTACTTTTAATTACTAAGTGTGTTAAAATATATTATTTTAATTGAAAACATGTAATTTAAAAAAATCACATCTAATCAATCACTTTTATGATAAAATTGTTGAGTTTTAAAGTAAATAGCATATATATATTTTTATTGACAAAGTAAATAGCATATATATATTTTTATTGACAAAGTAAATAGCATATTTTTTTTTTATTAACATATGTACTTAGCAAATAATAAACTAAATTTGACCCAAATTGATACAATTCTTGAGTTAAATTGTTTAACTCTGTTGTTTTTGTTAAATTAACAACAGTGAGCAGGAACAGTGGCGACTTATAAGGATAATTAAAAACAATTCAAAATGGATATGATTTAACATTATGAATTTAACAATAAAGGTTAGTATTCATAGTTAATTCTTATATCTAAGACATCTCAAGTATAATCATAAGTTAATCGGTATCTTGAAACATTTAAGACAATCTCTTAATAAGAACGATAAATACTATCCTAAGACAATATACTATATAAGTCATTTATAATCTTATAAACTAAAATCGAGTTTATAAGTCTTTATTGATGCTATTTAAAGTTTATTTATCTATTAAATACATGGTAAAAATCGATTATCCATATTTACCCATCAATCCAGCAAAGCGTTTGAATGTTCTTGGTATCCTGGTTTGTGGATGAATTTCTATCAATACATTTTTTTCTGTGTGTATATAAACTTGTAACAATCCAGCTCGATTTAACGGACTATCCATTAACATTAACAGACACTGATGAGTGATATCTGGCCTGCATGTGCCTGGAGCACGATTATATTTCTTTAAAATGTGTATGTGATCATCGCAATTCAACAGTTCAAAGCTATTTCCAACCTACAATTACGTTTTACACTTGTTGATGCAGAACAATAAAATTATAAATGCAAAATAATTGATAATGAAAATGAAAAAAACATTGGTGAATTTGTAATTATTTTATGTAAAAGAAAAATATAACCTTACTTTTACAGATTCCAATTGGGCATTTTCCAATATAACGATGAGACGCTTTTCTTGATTTTTGATATGACCTATTTGCATTTTCAAATAGTATTCGTCTTCATCATCACGTTTCCTTTTTTTGTTTCCCATTTTTAATTGTTAGTATATACGATCTCGTAACGTAAGGAAAAGCCTGTTCTTTTTACCGAACTGGTACACAGAGTGCAATAAGTTGAAGTGAAACAGATATACGTTTGTTTCAACTTATTGCACTGTATGTACCAGTTCAGACAGTGCAGGCAAAAAGGACAGGCCTATTGTGTGTGAGAGAATGCTGAGCGGTATGAGATCCTAGATGGCGTGAATGGGCGTATAAAATCAGAGCGAATCAAGGGAGAGTGGAACGGATAGTTCCACTTCTGCAAATGTGCATGTATTAAAGTGAGATACTCATAGAACAGACCACGAAGTACTTCGTGGAACAGACTGACCGATGTAACAGCTGGGCTGCGTTCAGAAATTACGCCTAGGTAACTCTAGGCTATAGTTACGTTACGTATATTATATCAAAAATACACCCAAGAATTATCTGAGTGTAATTTCTGAACGCACCCCTGGTGACAGCTTTTGTCAACTTTAAGGCCCGTATTCAGAACGCACTTTTATCGATAAAGCACGTTGTAATCTCTGAAATTCAACAGTATACGTGACGTAAACTGTAGCATGTTAGCGCGTTCTGAATACGGGCCTAAAGCCTTGTGTCCACGATGCTAGAACTCGGACCGAGTTCTCGGATGAAAGAAGAATTGACCAATCACATTGGTCACATACTGGATTCACACTGCATCCGATTATCGTCGTACGACGACTCTGCAACTAATCAGGAAAATCGTATCATCGAGACGAAGCAAAATTTTGTTTCCTGATTGGTTGTAGAGTCGTCGTACGACGAAAATCGGATGTAGTGTGAATCCAGCATATCACAATTAAAATGCGATTCATGTTATATTTTAGCCACAATTTCAGCATAAAGGTATGTATTTATAAGTGCAGAGCTAGGTCAGTCTAGAGTCCTAGATATCAGAGAAGCGCAACCGGCTTAAGTCAGTATCGCAAAACTACTAAGAAAAGTAATAAAAATGGCGTCGTTTGCAGACGAACTATGAAATCCACCAATCGTCTGTTAGTCAGCCATTTTTAGTACCACTGAATGAATGTCATGATTGGCTGACAGTCAGCTAATCAGAATGCGGCACACCGGTTGCGCTTCTCTGATATCTAGGACTCTAGTGTGCACCAAGTGTATTGCAATGCTTACAAGTTCTTACACGCAATTGCAACTAGTGTTATATAAAGCTATGCTCCAGTTACATCCACTGTATTCCAAGGGAAAACGCTATAAATATAATCGCATGCGTTTTGGTCGACTGTATAAGTGGGTTAAAGGTGTTCCAAGTCATCGTTAGATGGCGAAGCGATGTCACATTTGATAGAGTTCCTATCAAATAATAATAAAGGCCGCAGCACACACATTTGCATGACGCATAAGAGAATTAACAAATCATAATCCTTCTTTTCCTTCACGGAAGAGAAGCATTTTGATTGGTTGATTCTCTTATGCGTCATGCAAAAGTGTGTTCTGCGGCCATAAGAGTCTGAACACGCTTTCTACAGGTATAAAATATTTCTATATATAGATATATATATAAAATTATATACATTTTTTTGCATATCATTGCATATACGCACTTATTTTCGATGTTTAATTATAATCTGTGTGGAGCATTTTCAATATTATTTTATACGTAATCGCTTGAATCTCGTAAATGCAGAGCACATAATTATAGACGCAAAAGCTTGTATGATATGTGTATCGTCACTGAGCGCGTTGAAATGTTGCTCTGTGATTAGTGAACTTGAATGGCTACTAATTAAAAAATTAGATGTCCTTGACATTTTGGTATTAGAATTTTTGTCTTATTTAAATCAAGAATTAATATATTAAAATTTTGATTAAGAATTGTATAATATTATATAATATTATATAGACTTTGTATAATATACATATATGATAGATCATAAGGAAAGTTTCACAATAATTATATAAATACCTACTTTATTGTTTTTACATTCGAACGATTCAAACAAAATTCATCTTCTGAAGGCGAATCCTTTACGACGACTTTTGGTATCGACGAGCAATTGGGCTTGCTTTTTCAATGCGTTTCGAGACGGGACTTCATCCTCATCCTCCGACAGAGGAGCAGCCGGAGTCGCACAAGATGGAAACCTTGGAAACAATGGTCCACCACTATTAACATGCATTGTTCTGCCTTCTATCGAGGTTGTAGCGATCGATAATGTTTCTAACTGAAAGACGAAAGCAAATTATTTATGGCCGATCGTGTCAATTTAGGGAATTGACACGATCGGCCTTTGAATTTTTGTTTACATAAAACTCGAACAATTCGCAAATTCGGGAAACCCATTCGTATATAATATAACAGTAAAGGAATATTTAATGTTTTTCGACAATTTCGACAATATTTAAAAATTAATTCAGAAATTTCCGGACTTGAAATTTCTAAAAATAATTTTGCGGAATATGTATGAAATAAGATGACTTCTTTTGGCTATAAATCGATTGCCTTCAATATATTCTCCGAATATATGCAATGTATAAACGGTGCATTGTTTGAATTATCATTATGTTACTTTTACATTTTGTAAATATTTCGAGATGTTCTGGAATATTCTTGGAATATAATTTTGTTACTTTAGCAAAGAACATTTCAGAAATATTCAGCGTTAACTGGATATTAACTGCGAATTCTTTTTAAGAATCTGTTTTTAGAAATAATTGAAACTAACCTTGTCTAGCAAGGCTTCATCCATCGTTTCAAGATATTTGTCGGATGCGCTTAAAACATCCATGCCATGTTTGACTTTATTGCTTAATAATTCGATAATTGCTAAAGTGTCGTCCGTTTTAATGTTCTTAAACAAAGGAGTATCTGTAACATGCTATAAACGTTTTTGTAAATTTGAAATATCAATAAAATAAAAGAAAAAAAAAGAGATGTGTCTCACGGGCCGTTTACAATAGGATTAATATATATACTATGCGGTAGCTTATAAGCAATGTAAACCGTAAAAAAAATCAAACAATTACTATTAAATGTAAAGAAAATAATTATGATTGGTCAATTTTATTAAATTTAAAAATTAAAGTTAAACATTTTCTCTGTGCTAAAAATAGAATACAATCATCAAATTTTCCTTAAGTCTGTCTTGTTATAAATCATTAACAAATTTTGCATAGCAACTAATTACAGACCATACTCGATAATCTAATATTAGATTCTGTTTCTAAATTATTAATTCCTTCAATACAATTTTTCTTTATTAAAAAAAGTGTTTTAATTTTTCTGCAGTGTTTTAATTTTTCGCGCAAGAGTACGGGAAATAAAATTTATATATTTTATAAATATATATATATATATATATATTTGAAAATTATCCGTTTCTATTCCTTAAAATACTAATAATAATAAAAAGAACATTATCCAAAGTTTTAATAAAAAGATTTATTAATTTTTTGTATATGATTTTTTAAAACGAATAAGAAATTTTTTTTAATAGAATGTATATCTTTAAAGGATGTCTAATTTGTTCAAGCAAAATTATTTTTTTTTTTTTTTTATGGTCTTTAAGAATTATAAGTATAAATCTGCTGCATAAATTATACTAATTTTCGTATAAATTCGTTTCTACACTAAAATAGAAAATTTTCCTTGTAAGAATTTTTACCAAAGGTAGTCTTAGTGTGAATGTACTGAAAGAGTTGACCAGACAATTTGTATCGGAATAATTAACGAGTTCGAGATTCCACATACATTTCCAATAGAATCAATACTGATTTTTTACGTGGTCGTCTCGTGTTACAAAAATATTTGTTCTCGATCGAACACTGAGGTGTTAATGCGGGTGCTGGCAATGCGGCTCGAGGTGAGAATTACAGAACATGACATATTCAGGAAAATCCATCAACGATATACGAGATGAACAACACTAGGGGTGTCAAGCTTCCAGGAACAATAAATAGTCGAAGATGTTCACCGTAGCTACACCACTAAAGGTGGTTTTACTAATTTAATTAGGCATTTACACGGCACTTCCATTTCGACATTACAAAGCTTTATCCACCGAATATGTTCTCTCGTACGTGATAATTTGTAAAAACACGTTATGTGCACACCGCAAAAAGTAAAGCGTTAATTAAGATTCTTCTTTTTATTTAAAAAATTGATTATTTATCGATACTTCTTTTCATTTCTTTTATTCAGCTAATCATTGCACGGATTTTCAAATCTGACCTCATTTTTATCTATTTTTTCGTTTAGTGTTAATATTATCTATTTCAAACTTAAACCTTGTTAGAATAGTCCAAAAAATTACCAGGTCATAATATATAATTACTGTATAATTAATATTTATATTACAATATGTCAATATATATAATTACTAAAAAAAATATGTGTGTATATATATATAATTGGTACTTTTTATCATAACTAATACTTTCTAAATCTAAAAATTTATAGTTGTCAGAAATGCAATCTTATTTAGAGCGACTTGTCTATAGAAATTGTCTACTTCTAATTTATAAAACGGTCTTGGGGGCCTTTCTAACAATAAGTATGGGATCTGTCTTGGGCTTGATCACTGCTGCCAGACTCCATTTATAGACTCTGTCGTTCACGGACTTATAATTAATAACTCTCACCTGGAACTTCTCACACAGTTTATACAATATACCAGTTACTTCGTTTAAGAGCTCGTGGATTCGTCGACTTGCATTCTCGGCTCTCTCCCTACGAGCTCGCTGTTCATCGATTTGCAAATTGAGTTTTGCGACTACTTCCGCGTTTCTGAAATATTTAATTTAATGTTACAAATTAATCAAAGCTACAGCGATAATTAATAAACTTGTTATCAATTTTTGCTTTCAAAAAAATTAATTGCTTTTCGTTTCTAAAAATTTTCTCATTTCTATTTTGACATTATCCTGTCTCCTCAAATCTATATTTAAAAAATTAGTTTTAGAGACTTAACCTGGAATCAATTTAAAAAGTGATTTTTTAAATTCAAATTTGAGCTTTTGAAGCAAGCACTATAATTAAAAAAATAGATCTTATAAATTAAAATAGATGTTATAAATTATAAATGTGATACTCATTCATTGTCGCAGTTTTAATTTCTTTTTAATATGATAAAAATAAATTAAATTAATAATATATCTAATTAGCAAACATTTTATAAATTTGTTATTAATTTTTGTTTTCGAAAACTAACTGTTCGGCGCTCTTTGTTTCCGAAAATTTTCTCATCTCTATCTCGGCGTTAAGCTCCTGCCTCTTCTTTTCCAACACCATCTTCTCTTGTTCTGTGGCCGTTCGCATTTTCTGCAGACTCTCTTTGGTCGCCTTCTGACCCAGAAACCGGTTCAGAACTTCCTCGGACCTGGACACTCCGGTAGCGTTCTGTAGCCTGGCGAACGCCTCCTCCAGTCGTGCCAGCTCGTCCTTGATCATGTCCTCTTGTACCTGTACGCGACTTTTCCCACGTGTTTCAAAATCGTCCCGCGGACGAGTATGGAATATCATACGTTCCAATCGTTCCAATTCCATCTTTCGTTCTGCCACGCGTTGCCTGTTTATGTAGAAATGTCAAATGCTAAACTATATTCGTCGAGAGATTTACAATGTGCTAGTCACAAAAAAATCTTTTGTGAGACTGCTATTAATTTTCAGGTTTATAAAAACTGAAATTAGAGAAGATACGATCGCAGTAGTGTCTGCAACGAAAAAATGATTTTTAAAATGTAAATGTCAATCGTAGACCTGTACTCTTTGATGACAGAGTCGCGTTTTTTGCTGGAACTTGTCTCTTCAATTTCCTCTTTCACCAGAGTTTCTTGAGTACTATCTTTTAATTCTATAGCTTCTTCCTTCACACCCTACAATCAATAGTAGTAGTATTAAATGAAACGTGGCTTCGAAGTTTCTATTACTTTCTTCGCACCGTTATTATCCGTTATTCTTCTCATAAGCCTTGCCTGTAAACGTTTGATTTCGTTTTCTTGTTGCCTTATGCCATCTTCCAAATTTTTCAAGGAGCAAGCGTAAAGTACTGATTTCTCTTTTAATTCGGAGCAAACAGAACGATATTTCATACGTGAAATATTTGCCTTAATTTGCATCATTCGGATATGCTCTAGCTGTACTTCCAAAGTTTCGATCTTCTGAGCAATTTGAAGAGTGCATTTATAAAAATCAATGCTTACAAAATATATTTCAAATTTAGACCGGTATATACATAGTTTGTTTTTAATTAAGACCATCTAAATAAAATTATGCTATGAAGAATATTTCATGTGCTTTCACCTATAGGAGACCAATTTTGGAGCTCAGGCGAAATGCTGCGCTTCTTATACTTATTCTCTCACAGGTGATTCTAGTTTATAAATATGTTCTCCACCGTGGTCCTCTGTCGGCAGAAATGTGTACCGTTTGCTCGCCTGCGATTTTCATTACACATAATATATATATAGTATACACTTAAACTTATATATGTATAATGTGCGCGCGCGCGCGTGTGTATGATGAAAATTTTCATCAATATTTGCATATTTCTTTACTGTTTCGGAATATTCAACACATTGAAAATACAAATCGAACTTTCTATGAATATTTAATGTTAGCTGGATATAGAATTATGGACTGGCAATACAAGTAAGATCGTGTTCATACTTCTGTTTCTAAGAGTGTTTGGAAGGATGTTTCTTGCATGTTACTGACATATCTATATCATTGAATATGTTTCATTGAGATTATCTCTTCTTACAATACGATTTTATAAAGTTATGTTTTGCATACATTTTTTAATTGCCTGCATTTTAAATTTTCAAAAAAAATCTTATATTATACTTCTCGCTCTACGATATCATTTTTAATTCTGATATAGTTAACACGCTGTATGTTTAATTGATATGTACAATATACATTTCCGGAGATTTAAAAAAAACAGAAACACTTGAAAACTATATATATGTCTCTCTTTTTAACCTCTTCCGAGCGCTAACTAATTAGTTTTCTCTACTAACAATAAATGCAGCTATTGTTTCTTTGCAGAAAGTATAGAGAATTACTAGTCCATACTTAACTAAAAACTATGCACAATCTAAAGTTCGTATTAGCCCATATGCGCACACCACCTGACCAAGTCTTTTATACGGTTTATATGTACCTATATGCATACGCCAGAGTTGTAGAACACCATATTATTACTTAAGATGGTCTTAAAATAAAAACATACTATAAATACTAGCCTTAGATCAAATTACCTTCTTCATAGGATTTTCCATCTTGTTTTTAAAAACACAATGACCACGTTTATGCGCCAATACTTTACTTTCCGTTTGTAAAATATTCAAAGTACGTTCGTGCTAATAGGATTAATACATTTAACATTTGTCATATCTCGAGACTATATAATTATATTTACTTACCTTCTCTTTTTCATACTTAATTAGATCTAATTTCTTCCTTAAACGAACATTATTTTCACTTGCAGTGGTTACAATTTCTTCTAAATTACATTTGTTCACACAAGCTATAGAATCACGACTGATTAGGGTCGCATGTTCCATCGCTTCTTTATTCTAGAAAATATTTAATATTAGTTTATAAAAGCTAATTGGTTGTTTATTTATTTTTCTTCTGATAATCCACGTTACATTTTTCGCTCCCGCATATTTTATGTAAAGTTCTTTGACTTTTTTCTTGAGATCAGAAATTTTTTGAGCATTTTCGCGTTTCTTTGCATCGTATTCCTCAAAATTAGCCTTTCTTTGACCTTCTGAAAAAAATATTAAATTGCCTGTTATGTTTTTTGTAAAATAAAAGGCTATATATATATAAATAACATGTGTATTTAATAGAGTTCATTTAATAAATGAATTTAATAGAAAATATAATCTTTTTTTATGTACATAATTACACTTTTTGTGCTTTAATCATTATTAATTATTTCAATAAATATAGTTGATAATATGCATAAAGGTTACAATATAAAATAAAATACACATTTAACGCATAAGAATAATAGTCGAAAAGCATCTGTAATAACAATTCAGGGCAAAGAGACATAAACCAATGCTTGAGTCAACCAGTTATTTGAGTGCACAGTTTTGTATGTTTAGTCACACATACTCTCGTCACAACTCTAAATTAACATAACAGTTTTCTGCAAAAGTGATTACCCGATCATAGTGTAATACGTTAATGACAAGCTGCTATCGTTTTACTAAATAACTTTAAAGAACAAGAAAATGAAAACGTCGTGCTCACACAAGCGAATGAGTTCGAGAACTTCGGAGTGATACGTTAATTCAGTCTCTGTTACAGGAAATACGAACGTGTCTCGACTTACGAGGAATCGTGAAACTTAGTTGTCAGCTATTACTGCCTAGAACCTTACACGCGCTGTGAGCCACGTGCGTAAGTATGGTAGATAACTACGATTATATACATGTATATATAGTAACACTCCGAGAAGTGGCTGCTTGGATTCAAAGAATAGAGCATACAATGATAGATAAATCTATTCAGCTGTCTCGATTCCCTATAATGGCATGAGATCTTTAAAAGCCAATCTATTCAACGCTTGTCACTATCAAGTTATTGCTTATTATTTGTATCAAGCATCCAATATCGGCTCATTAATGGAAATATAAATATACAGTAGATTACGCAAAGAGATTTATTGTCTCTCTGATGTTTTTCTCTTATGACAGTTTTTATTTAATCAAAAATTTTATAAACAATTACTTATTTATATACTAAATTTTATTAATCTATATCTTTACATAACTGATGCATCAATTAATTCGTGAAAATTATTCAATCAAACTTAAGACAATTGTAATTTGTAAAATAATATAAACGTACTAAATAGTATAAGACAAAATTTAAAAAAAAACGTAAAAAAATTTATTTAAGTATAAAAGGAAGGAAAAATAATAAAGATTAAAACTGTATCCTTTTATTATTACACATCGTTACCCTATTTTGAAATTTAGACTTCTTGGATCCCCATACGAAAGACTATAGTTTTAGTTAAATTATTATTAAGTATTATTTATAAGTAAAATATAATATAATTTAGAAATATAGGTATAATTAAAGTCATTTAACATAATAATGTAGCATAAAAAATATACAAGACATACATATGATATCTGTATATAATGTCGAAATAAATAAGTATCTTTTAGGTCATGAATTAATATAAATATCTTGTCAAAATACTATTTCTATTTGTAATCAACAAATTTTTATATTAAATATTCTTAATTTATATGTTTTAAAATTACAGGACTATATATGTCAATAACATTTCTTTATAAGTTTTTCTTAGATAATTTAACGGCTTGATAATCTACTTTGACTGATAATTATGCAATCGAAATATAATACAATCCTGTAGTATTGTTTTATGACATAAAATCTAATCGATCTCATCAGATTTTATCTCCCTTTTTCAATCTATACTTTTGAGCTACTATTTTTATATAGGTACGCAAGACATCGTGCCATCTTGGATACTGGTTATTCCAGTTCACTTGCTCATATTTATCTTTGTATAATACGATCACGATCCTGAAATGTCAGTGAGCTGTCTCTTTTTGGCGCGTCTTGAGGTGTAGTGTAACAAATATGAAAATAAAATACATGGTGTTTTACTTACATTGCATTTCAACGCATATATTTGTAATATTTCAATTTTTACCTTTATGTACTTTTTTTTTAACATTAGAGAAACATTCTCTCTAAAATATTTAAAATGATTTAAAAAAACAAAAACATCAAATTTCTATTTAAGTTGAATTAATTACAGATGCTCCTTTGATTTTTTTAAAAGAATTTCTGGAGAAATTTGTAATTTTTTATTTTTAATTATACAAAAATAGGTGTTTTAAGATATAAAAATTTTTTTTTAATCGAAAAAAAAAGAATTTAAAACATTTGTCGTTATGAAGTAAAACGATAGAAATAGCATACCCTATATAAGCATAAGCTCTGACTCTGCAACTTTGTGGCAGAGAAATTTTCTAGCAGTGACTTGTTAAGCTAGGGTTGTCAGAAACAGTATAAACTAGCGAAGGATATTTTGTACAATTTGAGCCGTTACCTGATAACTGGATTTTCTTCTTAATCTCAACAATCTTTTTATTGAGCTCATTTAGCTTGTTCTCGATAGTGGATAGAACCAGAAGTTCAGACATGATTTCGCGAATGAGAAAGAGTGTCCACATGGAACATCGTATCGACCTAATAATGCCGTCGTCTGGACGACTAGAACCTGATTTCCCAGCCATACTCGTATGTCAAGATTACATAAAACACATAATTTGAAAAATAAAAATAAAAAAATATTAGAACTTTGAACTTACTATCTAACTAGAAACTAAATAGATCATCTACATCACATAATATTTTAATTACACATATTTATTTACACAAATAACATACATCTATAAATTAAACTGAATAATATAAAACTATCTCAAAGAACATGGGTAATCGGGCAACTTCCAAATCACGTTGTAAAGCACCAGTTCTCGTCCGATCACTGCAGTTAAGCAACATTGAGCACGGTTAGTACTTGGATGGGTGACCGCTTGGGAACACCGTGTGATGTTGTCCTCTTTTTTTATTTTTTGCTCCATATTAAAAAGAATATTATAAAGAAAACCAAAACGAGATACTATTAAGGATTAAATATTTTTAATAAATTTTCCATTAATAACGCTTCAAGAAAGAAATAATTGAAGAATATCGATATCAGATAGCATCTATTTTGATATTCGAGAAACGTGATACTTCTTATCCTTTCACTCAAGTAAAAAATGAATTTAAAAAATAATTTTTTGATCGTCTTGTAGTTGAGCCATTTTTTTCATGAACAAAATGTATAAAATTGCTATTTTTTGAAATACTGTAATCCATTTGCGTCATATTCTTCAGTATCATTTGTAGTTGTTTATAGTGAAAAGAATTTTTCCTGACTATTATAATTTTCTGTTCGCACTAAATGTATTAAACTTACGTTAAAAGAATTCTAAACGATTGAGATATATATATATATATATAGTTTCTTTTTTACGTATAGAGTGCTTAAAATAATTTTTGGGGTTTT